TGCGAGCTAAGTGGTTACTATATAGCTCTGGTGTAGAAACCTACTTAATTAACTGTGGGACCCTGGGAGTCACTTTTTTGAAAATACCCATTTATTTATTTTTCCCATCAATGACTTCTGTTCCCTGTCTATAAATTGAGGCTGGTAAATTATGCCCACCTCCTGAATCACACGGCAATTCTGTATTTAATTTTTTGAGGAACTGTTATGATAGAAAAGATTTATTTTTTGTGTGGAACTATATTCTTTTATTGCATAATTTATTTAAATGAACAGTTCATCAAAAATATTAAACACAGAATTATCATGTAATCCAGCAATTCCACCCAAAAGAAATGAAAGCACGGATTCAAACAGGTATTTGCACACCATTCATAGCAGCGTGATTCACAATAGCAAAAGGTGGAAGCAACCAAATGCCCATCACAGATGGATAAACACAATGTGGTCCATCCACACAATGGACTACTACTCAGCCTAAAAAGAAAGGCCGCCTGGATACCTGCTACAACATGGACAAACCCTGAGGACAAATACTGTAGGATCCCACTTTTATGAGGTGCCTAGAGGAGTCAAATTTGTGGGCAAAAAAGGGGGAGGGGAATTCTACCGAAAGTGACCTTGCTGGGTAGTCTGATCATAAGTTGCTAACTGGGTGTTGGCTGGTGTTGCTCAGTGGTTAGAGTGTTGGCCCGTTAACCAAAGAGTCCAGAGTTTGATTCTATCAAGGGCACTTACCTGGGTTGCAGGTTCAATCCCGGCCGAGGTCAGGGCACTTGCTGCCTCTCTTACATCAATGTTTCTCTTTCTCTCTCACCTCCTCCCTCCTCCTCTTCCACACTCTTAAAAAAAAAAAAAAAATCAGCCGAAACCGGTTTGGCTCAGTGGATGGAGCGTCAGCCTGTGGACTGAAAGGTCCCAGGTTCGATTCTGGTCAAGGGCATGTACCAGAAGGGGGTGTGCAAGAGGCAGCTGATCCATGATTCTCTCATCGATGTTTCTAACTCTCTATCCCTCTCTCTTCCTCTCTGTAAAAAATTAATAAAAAATATTTTTTTAAAAAATCAATGAAACCCTGGCTGGTTTGGCTCAGTGGATTGAGTGTCAGCCTGAGAATTGGAGGGTCCTGGATTTGATTCTAGTCAAGGGCACATGCTCGGGTTGGGGGCTCGATCCCCAGTAGGGGGCATGCAGGAGGCAGCCGATCAATAATTCTCTCTCATCATTGATGATTATATCTTTATCTCCCTTGCCTTTCCTCTCCGAAATAAAAAAATATTTTTAAAAATTCAGTGGAGCCCAGTCAGGTGTGGCTCAGCAGTTAAGCATTGACTCAGGAATCAAGAAGTTGCCAGCTTGAACTCCAGTAGGGGGCGTGCAGGAGGCTGATCAATGATTCTCTCTTATAACTGATGTTTCTCTCTCTCTCCCCCTCCCTTTCTGAAATCAATAAAAATATATATTTTTTAAAATCAATGGAAAAATATTCTTGGGTATTAACAAAAATCTAACAAACTAAAATGCCGACTGGGCAGTTCATAATGGGTAGCCACACACCTGACATAACTTCTTTACTAAATAGCTTATCTTTACCTTCAGCAAGCTCTATTCATTGATCCTATTAACACATCTTTGAAATGCTCTTTCATTTATAAAAAATATATATATATTTTATTGGTTTTTTTTTTACAGAGAGGAAGGGAGATGAGAGAAACATTGATCAGCTGCTTCATGCACACACACCCCCCACCCCCAACTGGGGGTGTGCTCGCAATCAAGGTACATGCCCTTGACCGGAATTGAACCTGGGATCCCCCCACCCCCCAGTGTGCTCACGACCAAGGACGTGCCCTTGACCGTAATCGAATCTGGGACCCTTCAGTCTTCAGGCTAATTATCTATCCACTGAGCCAAATCGGTTTTGGCTGAAATGCTTTCAGATCCCTCCTTCTAAAGCATAGAACACGTGATCTTAACTATCCTGTAATTTGATCACCATCTTGCCTTTTCACACTTTCATATAATCTTCCTTAATCTCAAATGCATAAAAGAAATTGCAAACTGTTATTCTCCAAAGCATTTTTCTCAGTGTGTTGAAATTTTATTCCAGGTGTATCCTCTGATAATTTATCCTCAAATAAATGTTTTAAAATTGATTTTTGAGAGAGGAAGGAGAGAGGGAGAGGGAGACAGTGACATAAATGTGAGAGAAACATAGACCAGTTGCCTCCCAAAAGCACCCTGACCAGGATAGAATATGGGTATGTAACCTTGATTGAGAATCGAACCCACCACCTTTCGGTGTACTAATAAAAATTCCCTACTTGTTTAGACATTCTTAGGTTAACAAATTCATGGAGACTGAAAATATAATGGTGGGTGCCAGGGGATGGGGGAGGGAGGTGGAGAATGAGTGTTTAATGGGGACAGGGTTTCATTTTGGGAAGATGAGAAAGATCTGGAGATTGATGATGGTGATGCTGGTACAACAAATGTGAGTACCGCATTAATGCCATTAAACTGTACTGTTAAAAATGGCTGAGATGCCGGCACCGGTTTGGCTCAATGGATAGAGCGTCGGCTTGGGGACTGAAGGGTCCCGGGTTCGATTCCGGTCAAGGGCATGTACCTTGGTTGCGGGCATATCCCCAGTGGGGGGTGTGCAAGAGGCAGCTGGTCGATGATTCTCTCTCATCGACGTTTCTAACTCTCTATCTCTCTCCCTTCCTCTCTGTGAAAAATCAATAAAATATATTAAAAATGGCTGAGATGGCCTTGGCCAGGTAACTCAGTTGGTTAGAACATTGTTCCAATAAGCCAAAGTTGTGGGTTTGATTTCCAGTCAGAGCACATACAAAAATCAACCAATGAATGCATAAATATGTGGAAAACAAATCGATCTCTCTCCCTCTCTCCCTTCCTCTCTCTAAAAATCAATAATAAAAAAAAAAAATTTTGTGATGTTTATTTTACCATAAAAACAAAACAAAAAACTCTGAAGAACAGTGCCTAGCACAAAGCCAGCGTGTTGTGCTTATTAAATTATCGAAATTAGAGTAACTGAAATAGTATCACTGGACTATCACCCTCCAAGGGGAGAGTCACATCAATCTAAACACTGGCATGTGCCCAGGGCCTGGCCAGTCTGCAGCTTCACGAAGATTTGATCTTTGACTGCTTGAAACCCTTTCACGTGCCTGAGTGCTTCGCTGGTCCTCCTGAAGCTCCCATTCACCCTCTGCCTCTCCACAGCACACCCTTCCCAAGCCCTGGGGACCTGGATCCGTGTAAATGGACCCTGGATTGCACACCCCATTAGATCCCCAGCCGAGGGTGCGCCTCAGCCTGGAGCATGGGCTCTGGCTCAACCAACTCCTGTGAGAACAGCCCCTGAGACTCAAGAGCTCTTTTGGAGGATGTCTGCACAGGGCAGCAGAGCCTGGAATCCCCCTCTGGTGGCTCTCCTAAGGGTCAAGGGCACAGGGGTTCAGGCAGAGACTGGAGCTTCTAGAATAGCTACCAGTACTCAGGAGAGAGCGAGCACCCGTTGGGTCATGTGATCAGTGCAAAGACAGGCCTGGGCACACCTCCTCCCCCTCCACTTTGGGAACCTGCCCTCAGGCCAGTCCTGCCCCTGTGGACAAGCATCCCACTCAGCCCTCCTCAGAGGTTAGTCTGGGATGGGACTGGTACTGCCAACATGTGGGCCAGCCCCTCTTACTAGTCCTCGCTGGGACCCCAAGTGGTGGCCAGGTGGGGAATAGATGGGAGCAATGAGCAGTCCAACTCCCAGAGCTGGGAGCTGAAAGCAGAGGACACAGCCCACCTCCTCAGGGAGGGCCACACTCAAGTCCTAGAGCTGGTGGTCCTTGCAGCAAGGAGTTTAAAGTCAACCCCTCCCCCAGCCTCCCCTCGCCCCAGGGCCTCTGTGGTCAGCTCAGGAGGCCTCTGCGGTCAGCTCAGGAGGCCTCTGCATGGTTCAGGCCTGGTGCTCTAGCTCCCTGAGAGGCTGAGCCCGGCGGTGCAGCCCAGGGAAGGATGTGTGCAGCGAGGGGCCTGGCTCAGGGTGGCCACCTGGAGGAGAGAAAGAAGACAAAAGTGCAGCAGCAGGTTTCTGTCCAGGAAGTCGGGTTACACGTTTTAGTAACGGGACAGAGAAATGAGGCATCGGGACAACAGGGGCCACAGGGAGAATAAGAGGTCCGAGAGCTGGGGTTTGGCGTCAATCTTACAAAGTGTATAAAGAATCTGTTTCTCTACAATAACAAAAAAACAAAGGCTACAAGAGCGGTTGTATATACAAAACACTGAGATATTGCTTCACTTGCAAACAGTTCCTGACCAGACAGGGAGACAAGACAGAGAGAAGGGCACAGGGAGGGGTGGGGAGTGCGCTGCGTGCAGAGGGGGGAGGTCTTCTCCCAGCGTATATCTACAGGCAGGAGCTGGATTCACGCACGCACAGGAGAGCCGAGGTCAAAGGCGTGTGCCAGCGCTGGCTGTATGCGGGTTGCAGGGTGCCAGGAGCCTCTGTCGGCCTGACCCAGTCCCTGGTCACTTGTTCTTCAGGCTTCAGCCGGGGGGGGGAGGGGGGGCGGGGGGTCTGGGTGGGGACCAGGAACAGCTGGGACAACTGGCCAGGGAGGAAGGGAGGCAATGGCTCCCTGGAGTCTGCTGTGGAAAACTGAAGCCTGCTTGGTGTGCCCATCCTCTTGCCTCTGGCAGGCCTGGTCCATTCTGCCACCCTCCCCACCCCACCCAGAGGCCCACTGGGACCCAAGAAGAACAGGTGCAGCAGCCAGGTTTCAAGCTTCCCTGGGGTGGGGGAGAAGGACAGATGGTGCAGCTGGACTCCTGTTCTTCCTGTGCAGAGCTCAGTGGAGGGGTAGGAGCCAGCCGCAGAGGGACAGAGAGGGTCGGGTCAGAGAAGACATCGTGGTGAGGGGCAGGCGAAAGATGAGGATGTGCACGCACGCATACTTGGACGAGGCACGGGGCAGTCACAGGTTCTGGCAGCACTGCAGCTTGCTCGGTTTCTGTCCGTCAGTAGTGGGTGGCACACTGATGTCCACCACGTTGTTACCAGGGGACTCGTCATGGGCTGCGCGGTCTGCAATTTGCTTCTGTGACACGATGCGGTAGATCTCTGCAATGGGGGGATGTGAGGTGAGTGCCGGGCATACTCTTGCCTGTGGTGACTGGTGCCCTCAGGACTCATCTGGATGTCACCTCCTCGAGGGAGTTCCCCTAAGGTTGTGTCCCTCCCAAAGGCCCCACCGTGGCCTACCTGCACCTCTCACAAAAGGGTTCTCCCCTGAGCACTCACAGGAGAGAACCCACATCTGGTCACAGAGATACGCTCCCCAGCCCAGGCCTCTTCTTCGTAAAGATCAGAGACCCCTTCTCCTCAGAATAAACTTCAGAAAACCAGGAGCTCTGGGCCTGAGGCCATCTGCAGTCCCCCCTGGCTGTTCCCTGGTGGAGCCATGGGTTTACCATGGAGCTGGGTGCCGGGTGCCAGCAGGGGTGGATCTAGCCTGACTTCAGAGCTTGCCATGTCTGTGCAGACTGACCAGCAGGTTTAAGACATGAAGGGTCAGGGGCTGCATTCTGAAGCATGCAACCAGTGTAGCTGGTGCCCTTCCCACACCACCTTTGGTGGGCCTGCTGGGGGTTCCTGTGGCCCCACCAGACCCTGGGATAACCTGTGAGAATGTTCTTGAAGGCTTCCTCTACGTTGGTGGAGTCCAAGGCTGAGGTCTCAATGAAGGACAAGTTGTTCTTCTCTGGAACAAAGAGAATATTGCCCAGGTGAGCAGGGGTCTCTCCTGCATCCTCTAAGGGCCCCTGTGTGCCCAACCACTCAGCTGGCCCAGGAAATGAAGGGCTGGGGCCAAGAGGGTAGGGTTGAGCCGAGACCGGTTTGGCTCAATGGATAAGCGTTGGCTTGGGGACTGAAGGGTCCCGGGTTCGATTCCGGTCAAGGGCATGTACCTTACTTGCGGGCATATCCCCAGTAGGGGGTGTGCAAGAGGCAGCTGATCGATGACTTTCTCTCATCGATGTTTCTAACTCTCTATCTCTCTCCCTTCCTCTCTGTACAAAATCAATAAAATATATTAAAAAAAAAAAAAAAAAAAAGAGGGTAGGGTTGAGATGCCCACTCCTTGAAGAGGGGAGGATGGCCCTGTGGCCACGCTCACAGGCAGGAAAAATGGGAAAGACCTGGAGGGGGCTGCTGGCTTTCCAGAAACTTCACGGATGCCTTAATCCAAGTCCCATTCTCAGGAGCTGGCCCCTGCGGGAGGACCCTGACCTAAGTGAAACCCCTCACAGCGGGTAGGTGCTCACCTGCGAAGGCTCGGGCCTCATCAGTGGGCACAGCCCGCAGGTGGCGCAGGTCGCTCTTGTTGCCCACCAGCATGATGACGATGTTACTGTCAGCATGGTCCCTCAGCTCCTTCAGCCAGCGCTCCACATTCTCGTATGTCAGGTGCTTGGCGATGTCATACACCAGCAGTGCTCCCACTGCACCTCGGTAGTACCTGTGGGGGACAGGGGGCAGGGCCAGGAATGAGCTGCCTGCCAGCGCCCCATGGGGGCCCCTAGACTTTGTGGGCAGCAGCTCCTGGACCCACACAGAGCCCAGCCGAGGGGTGACCTCCATGGCCTTGCGAGGGGTGACCTCCTGGCCCAGATTCAACTCAAGACTGTGGGGGCCTTCCTAGCAGGTTTGGCTCAGTGGCTAGTTGGTCTGTGGACTGAAGGGTCCCAGATTCGATTCCGGTCAAGGACACATGCCCAGGTTGTGGGCTCGATCCCCAGTTTGATCAATGGTTTTCTGATCATCATTGATATTTCTCTCTCTCCCTTCCTCTCTGAAATCAACAAAAACATACATTAAGAACATAAATAAACAAAAAGGCTGTGGAGGCCTGAGGAGGGAGTTAAGGGCCTGAGGTCAGAAGACACCCACAGAAAGGGAGAAGGAAACAGTGCCTATGCAGGCAAAGGCTGCTGCTAGGCAAAAGCTCCAGTGCCTGCTGTGGCCCGGCGCACCGGAAGACTAATGGATACACATCCACCCTGAGGGTTAGAGAGATGAAGAGGTGACCCGGCTTCAGTGGAAGGCATTGAGAAGAAAACGTGACCAATGGGGAAATGGCCGAGGCGGCAGGAAGGAGGCAGCTCCAGTAGATCCTGATGGCTGGGTGGCCACAGGGAGCCGAGGAAAGAGGAAGACCTGAAACATAGCCAGGCAGGGCAGGCTAAGCAGGCAGGACTGCGGGGTGGGCAGATTAGAATGGCCCACTCCAGGGGTCAGAGGAGCCATTAGACATGCCCACATGAGGTCACAGAGTGGTCAAGAGTGGGCACTGGTCTTCCCGAGCATCCCACAGCTCCTGGGGGCGTCTTATCCCTCCACCCCTGGGCCAACTGCTCTCAGGGTTGTGCTCTCCCCTTCTCCTCCTGCCCAACTCCTACCCCTCCTTCAGAGCCCACTAAGCCCTATGTCCAAGACCTACATATCCCCATCCCTGCCACTCACGCGGAGGTGATGGCACGGTAGCGTTCCTGGCCAGCGGTGTCCCAGATCTGCGCCTTGATGGTCTTGCCGTCCACCTGGATGCTGCGGGTGGCGAACTCCACGCCAATGGTGCTCTTGCTCTCCAGGTTGAATTCGTTGCGGGTGAAGCGGGACAACAGGTTGCTCTTCCCTACTCCCGAGTCCCCGATGAGCACCACTGTAAGGTGGGGAGGGCTATGGCTGTGGCTCCACGGGGCAGAGCAGGCAGCACACCAAGCAAAGACCCACATGCCACCCACAGCCACCTGTAGAGCCTTCACAGCAGTGCCCAGGTTCTTCGGAAATGACACAGCCAACAACAGATGGAGTCAGAGCTGTCTAGAGCCCCTTGCCCAAGGCCCCACATCTCTTGGTGCAGAAGAAAACAATGGCTCCAGGTTTCCAGAAACACAGCCACTGCAGACAGCATAATGCTCCTGCCTGTGTCTGGTCCTTCAGAGCAGGGCTGCCCCGGCTAAGGCACAGGGACCCCTATATCCAGGCAGGCAGGCGACGTGGGGATCCATCAGTCCCCAAACAGATGGAGGGCTCAGTAAGCTCTGGGGTAGGTGACCTTGGGCAAGTCACTTAACCTCCCTGGATTGCCTTTTCCACAAGTGTGAAAAGACAGGAACAAGAGCCAGTTCAGGGAAGGGGACATAGGAGCTTGCAGGATCAGAACTCAGCCAGCATCCAGCCAGCTAAGATAAGTAGGAAAGCAATTATTATTGTTCCACCATGCTCCTCCAGAGTTTTAAGTCACAGGAAATGAGAAACCTCATGTCCCATGCCCACCCAGTTGCTTCTTCATGGAAAGTGGCTGCAAGCACACCAACATTCAGCCCAACACAGCCAACTTTCCATTCAAAAGAGAAAAATGCCCTCTGCGTGGAATTAAGCCCACTACCCCTCCCATCAGTCAGCCCAGGGTTGGACAGTCCTGCAAGGACATCCAGGACAAGAGCTCTCCAGAACAGGGCAAAGCAGTGGGGCCACTCGACATGGTTCAGGAAGGTCCTAGGCCTGAGAAGGCTGGCCTCAGCCCAGAAGGAGCACTGTGTCTGTGTGCGTGTGTACACACACCTGGGTGTATATGCAGCACAGAAGGAATAACACACAGCAAAGATCATACACCCCAGCTGGAAACCACATGGACCCCAAGTATGGGCCTTGGGCTCTGGCATCTGAGCGTGGATCTGCCCAGTGAGAGCTGTCAGCACTGCAGGCTTGGTCACCCTCGGCTCGATGAAAAATTCCTGGATGAAAAATATTATGTGTGCATGTCCAGTTTCCCCCAACTGCTTACCACCGTCTCTATCCCAACACTAGGTAACCCAGGCAGCCTCCTTTCCCTTGGTGGCAATGCCAGCCTCCCCTCCAGTGCCCCTGAGTTCACTCTCATCTCCAACCAACAGGCTGTTCTCCCGAGGCAGCCACCAGGGGGTACTTGTGAGCACCTGAATCAGGTCCTGCTTCTCTCCTGCCCACAGACCTCCAGGGCTCCCATCTCCCTTGGGGTAAAAGCCTAAGTCCTCCCTAGAACCCACAAGGCCCTGCATGACCTGTCCCTGTCCCCTCCCCGCCCTCACCTCCTCTCTCCCCTGCTTGCTGACTCTGCCCCTGCCACGCTTGCTGACTCTGCCCCTGCCACACGTGCCTCCTCGCTAGGACTCAGAGATGTCCAAGTGCACACTGCCTTTTGCCTGATATGTTCTTCCACAGGTACCTGCCTGATTCCCACCCTCAGCTCCTCCATGTGGTGCCTCAGATTTCACTCATTCAAGGAGGCCTTCCCTGCAGTCCTCATAAAACCCCTCTCCTCCAAAACTCCCCACTCCCTCACTCTGCCTTTCCTCCATAGCTCCTACCACCCTCCCACACTTGCCAGGTTTCACTTATTTGCTTTTCGTCAGGCTTCTTCAAGGGTATGATATCAGATGGCTCATTCCATGCTATCCCTAGGCCCTGGCACAGAACCCTGCACATAGGACAGAGTGAACAAACAAATGATAAAGTGGCTGCAAGAATAGGATGAGCTGAAACCGGTTTGGCTTAGTGGACAGAGCGTCAGTCTGCAGACTGAAAGATCCCGGGTTCAATTCTGGTCGAGGGCATGTACATTGGTTGCAAGCACATTCCCAGTGGGAAGTGTGCGGGAGGCGGCTGGTCCATGTTTCTCTCTCATCGATGTTTCTAGCTCTCTATCCCTCTCCCTTCCTCTGTGAAAAATCAATAAAATATATATTTTTTAAAAATAGGATGAGGGCCACTAGCCTTTGCCCATATACATGTTGGAAAGGCCAGGATGCCTGGGCACTCCCTGGCACAGGTGCCCACTGTAGAGAGATGGCCAGCAGGGCCGTGGCTGGGTTGGCTCTGGGTACATTGTGGGAATGAGAACGGCACTGTCAAAGACACAAGCGACCTATTGTCTTGGGGAAATAAAGGGCCCTTGTGGACACGACCCCTAGCATTTCCCCAGAAGGTGGTGGCAATGCTGGCCAGGAAATGGCCTCCCCAGACACGCCACTTGGCTGGCAGGGCAGGCAAGCCTAGTTGGCAAAAATAAAGAACTGGCACCTCTTGAAGGCCTGGGTCCTCTGGCCTGCCCATAACAGTGTAGCACCACCAGGGCCCACACTCAAGATGCTCAGCAAAGTGAGTGGCCACTGGGTGGGGGGCACACTCCCCTACTTCAGGCAGAGCAGAGTCCCGTCTCTCCTCCAGGAAGCAGACCCTGATTATCCCAGGCTCAGGGACCAGCACTTGGGGGCAATCTTACCACAGCCAGTCCCCTGGAAATAGAGAACAAAGAGGAGGTGTCTGAAGCTGGGGCACTGGCAGGGAGAAGACGGCGTGCTTGGTTCTGAGGCCAGTGGGCCTGGCGGAGTCCTGTACAGGTGGCAGAGCCAGGAGGCTGTCTGGGAGCACTTGGCAGAGAGAGGTGAACACTGGCCCTGGCAGTCACTCTCTCCTTGCCCCTTTCCCAAAAGTACTTATAGATGGGACAAGGTGTAAACAGCCCAGAGGAAGGGCCCTGGGCCACATTAGTCATGTCCTTATGGGCCAGGTGAGTGGCTCTGGAAGGCCTTGGCGGCCTTGGGGACACCACGACCTGGTGGATCAGAGGAGAAAGCAGGGGAGCCTCAAGGGGCTGATGGGGCTGGAAAGTGACCCACAGCTGGCAGGATAAATGTGAGAATCTATAATTAGGTACAAATAAACAACCTCACTCCTGGGGAAAGTGGAATGTGTAGCAAAGAAAAGAAACACCACATGGAGAAAATACCCAGGAGGATCTGCTGGCCTTGGGGTGGAGGTCAGGAGAGCCAACATGTGATATGGCTGCCAACACAAACAAGACTGGTGGGAGGGCTGGACAGGCGGCAACCAGCGTCCCGAAGTGAGAGGTTGGCCCCTTTGTGCCCAGGACAGGGCCAGGGGAAGGTGACAGAAGCCTGAGGAAGGTTGTGCACAGGGTTGGGGGGAGTAGGAGGATGACTGTCCCCTTTTCTGCTAAAGGGTGGCCTTTACCAGGTGGCAGGGTCAGGGAGAAAGCTGGTCCTGGTCAACCCTTCTGATGCAGTCATGTCTTGGATGCCTCTCTAATGCCCAAGCCTGACCCTTTGTAGGCCACGGGGTCTCAGGAGGGGCTGAGGTGGAAAGGTGTGCAGTGTGTGTGTGTGTGTGTGTATAAATATATTTTATTTTTTTTTACAGAGAGGAAGGGATAGAGAGCCAGAAACATTGATGAGAGAAATACATCAATCAGCTGTCTCCTGCACATCCCCCACCAGGGATGTGTCTGCAACGAAGGTACATGCACTTGACCGGAATCGAACCCTGGACCCTTCAGCACTGAGCCAAACTGGTTTCGGCGTGTGCAGCATATTTATGTATCTGTCTACCCACCATATTCATGTTATGTGGGGGTTGTGGCATGCCTGCCGGCTTCCCTCCTCCCTTCTTTATTTGCCAGAGCCAAATAGACTTTCCTTTTCCCATTTAAAAGAATGAAAACGTGGGTAAATTTAAAGACAAACATTAAAGGATAAAGGTGTGTGTGTGTGTGGGGGGGGATCATCCAACAGGATTTAAGTGTGGAGAGGAGGTCTCAGATGACCCCAGCTTGGAGAGCCCTGACCTTGTGGACTCAGAAAAGGAGGTCAGTGGAGGAGGGAAGCAGAGCAGGCGGGCACCATCCCTCCCATGCCAGGTGCCACAGATGTGGAATTAGTTTCCAGGAAGTGGACCAGACAGCTGCTCCATTGCCCCTGACCCAATAACTGAACTTCTGGGAACACACTTCAAGGAAATAACCCAAAGGGCAAAAGATGGTTTGTGCAAACACTTGGAACTGGATTACTTGTATCAGCAAACAATTGAAAATAACAAGCAAATGACCACAGAAACGTGGAAGGGGTGACAGGGGAAATGCCCCCTGCCCTGGCATTGCCAGGGCCAGGTGTGTGCCCCACCTTGATCCAGGAGCAGTCACCTAAGGGCAGACTGGGTAGCAGTACTGAAGTCCAGACCACCTGTCCCCAAACCCTGACAGAACTTCCCCTGCCTCTAAGGTGAGACCAACCACAAGGCTTAGTCTGCACCAGGCCTTGGCCTGATGCCTGCTGACCACACAGCCTCAACTGCCAGTGACATACCAGCCTGCAGGCACCTCCCGGAGCCCATGGTGCTGTGAGGAGACTCTGGGGCTCTGCAATGGGCACTCTCTCACCCACTCTCCACACCTCCGAAGTTCTCAGGTTTGCCCCAAGATGCTGGATAGTCACCCAATAAGGAAAGAGTCCAACAGCTAGTGTGGCAGGCAGACTCTCACACAGCAGGCAGCAGAACAAATGTATCCCATGTGGACCTGGCCAGTTTGGCTCAGTGGTTATAGTATCGGCCTGTGGTCCGAAGGGCTGTGGATTCAATTCCCGTCAAGGGCACATACCTCAGTTGCAGGTTTTATCCCCAGCCCTGGCAACCAATCAATGTGTCTCTCTCACTTCGATGTTTCTCTGTGTCTCTATCTCTCTCTTTCTCATCCCATCCTTCCTCCATACCCTCCTCTCTCTCTCTAAAAAATAAATAAAAGCAATAGGAAAAATATCCTCAAGTGAGGATTTTTTTTTGAAAAGTACCCTGTGTGGGCCCAGGAGTTAGCTCTCAAGGGCAGCCACTATCAGCCAGCATGGACAGCAGAGGCCTAGCCAAAGTCCAGGTTGGCACAGAAGGCACTATAAAGCCAGTGACCCCTAAACTAGCTGAGCTGAGAAATGAAGGACTCTGGCAACATGTAGCAAGTCTCTTCAGCTTGGGGCAGGGTGAAGGAGTTCGCCAACTGGCTGCAGGCCAGCTATGGCTGCCTGACCTACAGAGGCCATACTTGAGGCTCACAAAGCCCCCTGTCCCTCCGGCTGGGAAAATCCTCCAGCAGGTCGGCCTGGACCCAAGCCATCATCGTGCGGTGTTGAAGGAGGCAGTCTGATACCTTAGTCCCAGATCCTGGCCAGAAGCTCCCCCGAATACTCCCTAAGTGGTAAAGCCAACAAATGGCCTGGTTTCAAATTCTGCTCTAACACCTATTCACTATGTCCTTGTCTCCCTGGGCCTGTTTCCAGGTCCATAAAAAAAAAAAAAAAAAAGAGGCTGGATAATACTGACCTCACAGAGTTGTGGTGAGAATTTCAATGAATTCTTGTGTGTAAAGAGCTTAGAAAAGTGCAGGTTCTTGGGTGGTGCTATTAAGAGTTCTAGGTGTGTGCTTGCTTCCGCAGCACATATACTAAAATTGGAATGACAGAGATTAGCAAGGCCCCTGCGAAAGGATGACACGCAAATTCATGAAGCCTCACGTACCAGATAAAATTATAGATGGGAATTTTTGTGCATCATCCACTATTATGTGTAATCATTAAACGATTTATATATACTTTTGAAAAAGAAAAGAGTTCTAAGAGTTAATAGAGGTAACTACTGATGTTAACCACCAGGTCTGGGTCCAACACACACACGCCCGGCATGCCTCCACGCAATCTGCGTCCCCCAACACACATCTCAACCCGCAGAGTCCACGCCTCCCTCCTCGGCCACGCCTCCAAAGGCGCCCACACCAAGCCTAACCACGCCCACCCTGTGAAGAGCACCGCCCCCACCCGGCCGCCCTCGTCTTGGACACGCCCACCGCGCCCTAGCCCCGCCTCCAATGGTCCCACCCCCACCCCCACCCTACTGGAGCTTTCCACCCAGCCCGGTCCTCAAAAGATGGGGCGGTCCAATCCCCTCCCGAGGCCTCGCCCCCAACGGCCTCTCCCACCGCTGGGGGCCCCACCTCCTCTCGGCTCCAGCCCTGCCGGGTCGCATCCCAGGAACCTCGGGCCCTCAGGCCTGCCGGCTCAAAGCTGTCGAGACAAGCCTGCCCCGTCCTGTCCCGCCGGACCCCAAGTCCTGGGCTCCGACCTGGGCCCAGCGGCCTAAACGGGACTTCGGCCCGCTTGTCGGCCGCCGGCACCTCGTCCATCTGTGCCCCACAGGCCATACCTTTGAATAGGTAGTCGTACTCGTCGTCCCGGGTCCCCATTGTCCTGGCGCTTCCGGCGGGATCCACGGCTCCGCAGCCCCACCACAAACACCACGGGGGCGGGGCCGGCGCCGCGCAGAGCGGCGGCAGGATAGTCAATCAGCGCCGGGTGGCGTAGTGACGGGCACCCAGAGCAGCCAATCAGAGGCGGAAGCAGAGCCCCCGGGGTGGGAGCCGCCTGGGATCCGCCTTCCTCGCCTCCGGTCGGCTGTAGAAAGGCGGAAGGAATGCGGACCTTTCTGAAGTGACAGCCGCGTCAACCTCTCAGAGACTGGATCGGGGAAGGCGGGGCGGAAGGCTGGTATAATTACACGGATTGACGGAGCGAGTAGCCAATGAGAGGCTTGATACAGACCGTGCCTGACCAACAGCGGAACTCTCTAGGAAGAAAAATGGGGCAACGCCCAGGTAATGTTACGCTATCTAACGTCCGGATGACATCATAGGTCACTGTGTGGGCCCACGGGCTCCGCCCCCATTAATGACCGTTTCCCGAGGCCTCTGTGCGAGGTCTTTTTCACCTTGAGGTCCCTTCTCCTCTCACAGTGCAGTTTTCATCCTTACATTGGCGACTCATAACGTTAACCCTCTGCCTCAGTTTCCCTCTTCTGTATAACCGGAAAGAAACCCACCTCATAGAAACTTTTGACGATGTCTAGATCTTTTCCCTAAACATGTACTAAATCAACCACCCACTTTCTGTCATTAAGGTGTTTTTTAAAAATATATTTTATTGATTTTTTTACGGAGAGAAAGGGAAAGGGATAGAGAGCTTGACACATCGATGAAAGAAAAACATCAATCAGCTGCCTCCTGCACATCCCCTACTAGGGATGTGCCACAACCAAGGTACATGCTCTTGTCCGAAATCGAACCTGGGACTCTTCATTCTGCAGGCCAATGCTCTATTCCACTGAGCCAAACGGGTTTAGGGGTAAGGTATTTTTTTTTTTAATTGTTGAAATTATAGACGTCACCCATTATCCCTCTTTGTCCCCCTCCACCCAGACCCTGACCTCCTCTCCCTCTGGCTGTAACCACATTGTGTCTATGTCCATGGGGTATTCATATATGTTCTTTGTCTATTTCTTTTTTCCCCTAGCGCCTTCCCCCCACACTTCCCTCTGATTAGTCTGAACTGTCCTATATAATAATCTTATCATCATCCTATATAATAAAAGGCTAATATGCCAATAAACCAAACAACTGAACAACTGGTGGCTATGATGTGCGCTGACCACGAGGGGGTGTAGGTGGAGCATGGCGAGTGTTGGCTGCTGTGAGATGCTGGAGCACTTGAGCAGGGGAGCCAGACAAAGGCAGGGTGCGGATTGCTGTCATTGGGGCGAGCCTCTGCTGTTTACTGAAGATTATTTGCTCCCATGTGCCACGGTCCCGATCACTCAGCGGGGGCTGATGGCCCTGAGGGTTTCTCCACCCCACTCGTGCTCCTGAGGGGCAATAGGGGTAGCAGCAGCAATGGCCCTACTTGCACCCGCTGCCAGCATCAGCCCCAATTGCTCATGTGCAAGCAGGGCCAGCACTGTCAGCATGTGGGAGTGATGGTGGTGGGAGCAGGGCTGCCAGCAGACAGGAGACTGGGAATGCAGTGGGAGGGGCCAGGAAGGGACACAGAGGATGGGCTGAGACCCACCCTTGTGCCTACTGCAGCCTCACAGCCCACAGTTCCTTTCAAAGTGCATGAATTCATGCACTGAGCCCCTAGTATATAATCTTAATATATGAAAATCCTGGGTCCTAACAACCAGTAACGACTGAGGCTCAACCAACCGGAAGCCACAGCAACCCAGTGCCGACTGCTTCTGCTGCAGGCCTGGTGCCCCAGCACTGACTGCTGAGGGGGTTGCAAATCAGGGCCAGAAAGAGGCCTGAAGGGAGAAACAGGGACTGACCCATTGCCTCTGTGGCAGCTTTTAATCAGCACTTGCCTCTCTCTTTCTCTCCCAGTCTGGCCAGCAGCCACACCTCCATTCCTCTCCAAGCCTCCATTGGGCCTGCTGATCAGCCCCACCTTTCTGATCAGGCTTCATTAATAGGCCCAGAGATGCTGATTAGCATAAAAACCGACCAATCAGAACCAAATCTGGGTCAATTGTGAGGAGCCAATGACTGCCCAGGAGGCAGAGCTTTTAACACTGACTGGCATAGAAGCTGATCAATCAGAACCAAATTGGCCAGCAGAAGAGGGCATTTGGGGCGAGATCAGGACAGCAGGGGAGGGCCATTGGGGCTGGCAGGGGAGGGCATTTAGGAGTGATCAGGCTGGCAAGCAGAGGCAATTGGGGGCGATCAGGCAAGCAGGCAAGTGAGCAGTTAGGAGCCAGAGGTCCTAGATTGTGAGAGGGATGTCTGACTGCTGGTTTAGGTCCAATCCCTGGGATCAGGCCTAAACTGGCAGTTGGACATCCTCCAAGGGGTCCCCAATTGGAGAGGGTGCAGGCTGGGCTGAGGGAACTGTGGGGGGGAGGAGGAGGCGGGAGGGAGAAGGAGGCTCTGTGCATGAATTTTGTGTACCAGGCCATTAGTAAAAGCATAATATCAATTCGTTGGATGGGAAAATGACTGGTTGCTATCATGCACATTGACCACCAGGGGGCAGACACTCACGCAGGACTGCCCCCTGGTGGTCAGTGTGCTCCCACAGCAGGAGCACCACTCAACCAGAAGCCACGCTCAGGGCTGGCTAGCACAGTGGTGGTAGCGGGAGCCTCTCCCACCTACGCTGCAGGCAGGCAGTAAGGAGCAAGGGGTCCCACACTGCGAGAGGCACAGGCTGGGCTGAGGGACCTTTCCAATCCTCGTGCATGAATCTCGTGTACAGGGCCTCTAGTGTATCCATAACTCTGGTTCTGTTTTGCTCATCAGTTTATTCTGTTCATTGGATTCCATGAATAAGTGCGATCATACCTTATTTGTCTTTCTCTGACTGGCTTATTCTGCTTAGCATTATAATCTCCAGGTCCATTCATGCTGTCAAACCGTGAGAGTTCCTTATTTACAGCTGCATAGTATTCCACTGTGTAAATGTATAATACCACAGCATTTTTATCCACTCATCTACTGATGGGCACTTGGGCTGTTTCCAGATCTTAGAATAACACTGTTATGAACATAGGGATACATATGTATGTTTCTAATTGGTGTTTTGGGATTCTTTTCTTTTTAAAAAAATATTTTTTTTTTATTGATTTCAAACATCAATAATGAGAAACATCAATAATGAGAGAGAAAGAGTCATTGCTTGGCTGCCTCCTGCACGCCCCCTACTGGGGATCAAGCGAGCTACCCGGGAATGTGCCCTTGAGCGGAATCTAACCCATGAGTCTGCAGGCTCATGCTCTATCCGACTAGAGGCAAATATTTATAATAATCTTTACCGGACATCAGACTCTGTCCAACATAACCTCTCCTCTCTGTCCCTTACCCTATTTTATCTCTCTCTCTCTCACACACACACACACTCCCCACCCCAGGATTTTTTACTACCTAACCTTAAAGTGTGTATTTCTTTCTTGGTCCATTAATCTGTTTAGTTTCAGTCTCAAGTCAATAAAATTACCAGCCTCATGAGGGCAGAGATGTGTCTGTTGCAATCACTGCTGTTCTCAATAAATATTTGGGATATGTGATGGATTATGTAAGCATAGATATTATGTACTAGTTATAACCATAACTATAATTTTATATAACTATAATTATTATTATTGCCTCCTGGACGTCATCCCTGCTATGTCCATCAGGCATCCTAGATATTAATTTGGCCTTTTTGCTCCTCCTCCTGTGTCTTCATTCTTCCCACCCCCACTCCATGATCAAAACCAGAGGTCATGTACTTTTCTCTCCCTCTCATCCTTACTCCCCTGGCCCTGCCTCCTTATCCCTCTCTTTATTGCCATTTTATGTCCCTCCTTTCTCATATATTCTGACTTCTTCTCCACTGCCACCACCCTGATTCTTGCCACATCACCATTCCCTGGACCTCCCAGATCTCCCTGCTCTGCCCACACATGCACACGCTGTTCTTCCACAGCAGTCAAAGGGAGTCTTTTAAAACACGAGCCAGATTTTCTCGCTCCCCTGTTTAAAAATCGTTTTAGTCCTTTCCTTAACAAGTGTTTACCTAGCGCCTACTGAGTGCCAGGCAGCACTCTGGGTGCTGGGGACACACCTGCCCGATCCCCAGGGAGCTGACAGTTCAGTGGGGACAGGGACACAAGAAGCAAGTAAACAACACACACAGTATTTGTCTTTCTCTGGGACCTTTCAATCTGAAGGCCAACGCTCTATCCACTGAGCCAAACCAGTTTTGGCTCCTTTTTTTTTTTTTTTTTTTTTAAAGAATCTGGGCAGTTCTTTTGGGTGTCCCTGTGTCCTCATCTATTTTCTGGCAGTATTTTTTTTTTTTTCAGTAACAGACCCAAATTTTCTATTTAGATAAGGTGGCCTTTATCTTTCTCTGACTGGCTTACTTTGCTCAGTATTATAATCTCCAGGTCCCTCCACGGGAGGCATGCAATGAGGAAAATAGCCTGGGTTATTGTCAGGAGCAGCAAGAGCTCTGCACAGTACTGCTGCTCTGAGTCCATGTGTCCTTCTGAATTCTCCTCAGCTACGCCAAGTACCAGGGCAGGTTCCTTCTCAAACCCTGCCCATTGTACTAATTATTGGGGACGAGCCCCTTTGCCAGGGTCTGGACCTTGTTGGCTACTGGGAGTTAGACAGAGAAGCCATGAGAAGTTGTGGGTCTATAAAAATGGGTCTTTATTGCCGAAGCCGTGGTATTATAAGGCATCAGACAAAGCAGTCCTTCACAGCAACCCCACATAGGCAGCTGCTCACTGGCTGGTAAACACGTATTTCCCCCACACAGTAGTAGAAGTCTCTGTATCCAGTTATTATCTGAGCAGCTGCATGCTTCCTCCTAGACTCACCACCTCACATAGTAATGGCACCTGAGCTCTCTGCCTCAGCAGCTTCTC